GAATGCACTATAGAACTAACCTGGTGAGTCATCTTTATAGTTTCACAATCTATAGAATGCTTCTTTGTAACCAAGTCCTGCATGAATTTAGCATAGCCTGGCATTTGTTCAAGATCCTCCACCAAAGGCACATTAATGGATAAGCTCTTTATCATGTCAATGAACTTTTTAAACTGAGTCTCATTTTTTTGCTTTGCGAGCCTTTGAGGATAAAGTGGAGGTGTCCTTGGCAAAGGAGCCTTGGCTTTAGGCATAACCGGCTCCGACATGTCTATTATGTGTTCGCTAGATGGGTTCACATCCTTTTGAGTTTCCACCTCGACATCTTGAATATCAATCCTCACTTCTTTATTCACATTTTCATCACACATTTTCAACTACCAAAGGAACTTCATCTTCTTGCAACTCAACATCATCATCCACAATTTGCTTTTGTTTGGAGGCATGCACATCACCGCCTCTCCCACTTCTAGTTGTTACCGCCATAACATGATTGTTCCCACCCTTCGGGTTCACTACCGTATCACTTGGCAGAGCACCCTTAGGGCGATTATTTAAAGACTGTGAGATTTGGCCTAACTGCACCTCCAAGATTCTGATAGAGGTATTGTGGGAAGCCAACTGAGCATCCGAGTCTGCATTCTTCTTCATTATCTGTTCGAACATCATTTCAATTCTACCCATATTATTGCTAGAATAACTAGAACCTTGAGATGGAAATGAGGGTGGATTGTTCGGTTGTTGGTACATTGGGGGCCTTTGAAAGCCTTGCCCCCGGTTTCCTTGGTTTCCATTGTTCCATCCACCTTGATTGTTATTACTATCACCATTGTTGTTATTACCATTCCAATTTCCTTGGTTGTTTTGATTGTTGTTCTGATTGCCCTAGTTGTTGTTTTGGTTGTTGTTCCCCCAATTACCAATGCCTTGTTGTTGATTGCCCCAATTGCCTTGGGGTCTCCATTGTTTTTGGTTGGAAGAATTGCCTCTTTGGCCTTGATAATTATTCATGTATTGCACCTCTTCACTTTGTTCATCATAAACATCATTTTGAAATCCACCACAATTATTGTCAAATTGCTTAGAATTTCCTTGGTTCTGTTGAACTCTTTGTCTTCTTTTGTTGACAAGCATGTTAACACCCTCCATGGCATTCACTTGGCGAGGATTTTGAACTTGTTGCAATTGTGTCTTTGCTAGTTGGTTCATTGTAGTTGTCAACTCAGTTATAGCATGTCCATGATCATGTAATTCCTTGTGCAAATGAATAACCGTGGGGTCACTCTGGGGCACATTGGATCTACTTTGCCAAGCGGAAGAAGTGTCAGCCATCTCGTCAAGAATGTCACAAGCCTCATCATAAGACAGCTTCATGAAGTTGCTCCCAGCAAGTTGGTTCACTATGCATTAGTTTGTGGTGTTGATACCCCGGTAGAAAGTCTGTTGGATCGTCGCCCTGGTCATATCATTGTTGGGGCATTCCTTCACCATTGTTTTATAACGCTCCCAAATTTCATGCAAAGGTTCTGTGGGCTCTTGCTTGAACGCCAAGATCTCATCTTTCAATGTAGCCATATGCCCCGGTGAGAAACATTTTGCAATGAACTTATCCACCAACTCATCCCAAGTAGTGATGGAATGGTTAGGAAGTCACCCAAGCTAATCAAGTGCTTTCCCTCTAAGTGAAAATGGGAAGAGTCTCAACCACAGAGAATCTCGGACACGTTAGTTTGCTTACTCCCCCAACATGTATCCACGAACCCCTTAAGATATTTGTAATCATTTTGATCTGTAGCGCCCGTGAAATACCCACGCTGCTCTAGCAAAGTCAGCATCACATTGGTTATTTGAAAATTGTTTGCCCGGATTCGAGGTAGGACAATAACACTTGCATAGCCTTGGTTCGGAAGCACTCTAGGAGCCACTCTTGGAGGTGGAGGAGGAGGGTCTGGAATATTGTCATTTGCATTAGCATTGGCCTGGCGGCCTCTGCGTTGTCCTTGAGGTACAAGAGGCACCTCATCATCTCCGACGTCATCTACCTCCTCCCCTGCAATCACCTTTCCAAGAGGGTCATTGGCGTTGTTGCTGCCATTTGGTACCTGAAGTTGTGACAGACACAAATTAGTAATAAAGAAGGAAAGAAGAACAATACACAAAACTAGTTAAATAGATAGCCAAAACTGTTAGCTCCCCGACAATGGCGCCATAAAGTTTATCAAGGCCAACCCTATACTATTATTGAGTAGCGAGAGAGGTCAAAGCAGCTTTTACCCGATTAAGGTCGGGATCGATTTTCACAGGGAGCTAGATATTGGAGTCAGGTATCTATCTAAAGCGGAGTTGTGTATTTGCTCTTAATTGCACTTCTACATATTTTTGTGTTTTGATTTACTTCTAATTATATAAACTACAATGCGCAACTAAACTAGAATAAGCTAAGAGTAAACTAATGCGAGCTGTTCTAATGGTTAAAAGGCACTAGGGTAGTGACTTTAGCCTAGGTGGTCAATTGACGGATACTTGAGTCTAAGGCATGATTGACACATTTGGGGAGTATAATATAACCGTTGCACGATTCTACCCACTCTACATCTCTCGGTGGTTCGAGTAATTTTTCCCGAATTGACTTTCTCAAGACCAATTGGGTATGCACATTTGCACAAGCAATCAAGGTTCAAGTCGGGTATTACTATCTCTAGATTTAACCCTTTAATTTGGGCTATCAATCTCTTGAGTACGCTCCAATTCCTTGTTGGACCAATTTAGACTTAGGCTCTCTTTCTCAAGAAGAGCCAAAGTCAACTAAACACAAATTAGTGTTTGCAACCACTAATTCAGCAATTAAACATGAAATTAGTCCAAATATCAAACACCCATAGACAATCAAGCATCAAAACACAAGACTCATCAATTACTCACACTAGGGTCTAGCCACAACCCTAGCTTATGGGTCTAGCTACTCATAATTGAAGAAGAAAACAAAGAAATAGATGAAGAAAAACTCATATTAATTAATTGCTAAGATAAACTAGAAGATTCAATGTTGAAATGAAGCTAAAATTGCCAAAAATAGCTAAAGAAACAGAGGTCATGAGCGCAGCTCAGTACAAAAACTATTTGATGACCTAAAAATGGGAAAAGAAGCTATTTATACTAAGATGAAAAATCTGGACAAAAATACCCCTGCAGGGCTAGTGCGGACTGCACAAAATCACGAGCGGCCGTACTAGGGCTCTGAACATGAAAATCCAACTCTCTGAACTCGGGCAATGCGGACCACACAGAATCGAGTGCGGCCGCGGTGGCTTCTAGTACTGTCCGCATGAAATGGAGTGCGAACCGCATTGGCTTCAATCTCCAAACTGGCACTTCTATGATCCTTGGTTCTGCGGACCGCACTAAATCGAGTGCGGCCATAGTGACTCCAATGCGGACCGCATTAAATCTCATGCGGCCGCATTTCCTGTTGGCCTGGAAATCAACCTCTCTGAACCTCACTTGTGCGAACCGCACAAAATGGTGTGTGGCCGCATTGGGCCTGTTTTGCCTAAGCTTTGTCTTGTCTTGGTACTTGTGCAAGTTTCACTCTTTTTTGAGCTGATCTTTGACATCTTGTCACTTTGTTGATCAAACCTTCAATCAAGCACAACTTGTGAGCCTTTTGGGACAATTTTTGTACAAATTTCTAATCAAAACATAAGCAAGAAGGAGTATAAAATGTATCAAAATCCCTAGTTATCAGAAAGCAGTTAATAGGGGACCGGGGCGTTAATTCTTAAGATGACCGGCCGGGTCGTCATAATTTACAATTGATTTGACTTGGTAAATAAAAAATCCAACTAAAATCCGACTTATACGACAACAACAATAAACCCAGTAAAATTCCACACGTGAGGTTTGTGGAGGGTATTGTGTACGGAGACCTTATTCCTATCTTATGAAGGAAGAGAGCATATCAGCGATTGCCTTCGCCCCTATCTCTTAAAGCTACGGCATCCCACCGATCCCCGAATCGGCTCTTCTAGTTGGCTTTGTTGCTATCAAGGCATAGCATTCTATGGACTCTTTCCCACGTCCAGAAATGGTATGCCAACAAACACCTTTTCTCCTTAGCTAACCAAAGTCTTCTGATGGCAATAACTGCGTTTCCCGTTAAAAGTAAAACGGTGTTCTCTCTACGCAGGTAGAACCCTACTCGTATTACCAAATCGGATATTTGGCATGAGTAGCCTACGAGCCCTTACTTGATGTCTGCGCTAACTTCCCTATAGCTGGTGAATCCTTTGAATCATAGGAATGGCAAAATCAGAGTGTCCAGGTTTGGTCATTCTCTTTCCCCTAAATGTTATTGTTGTGTTGACTCTACTGTGAACTCAAGCTTAAAATCTGTTGAGCATCTCTTTTGGAGTGGAAATTTCAGACTGACTTAATATGAGGTCGGCGCAAAGAGACTTTAATAAGAAATTACTTAAGTCAAGTTCTTGTGCTATATCTCGTTCGTGATCCCGCCCTGGGAATCACATCACTGCCTTTTGACTGAAGTTCTTAGAAGAGGGAATGCAAAAGAATTAGACTAGGGGCCTTATGCCAATCTTAATCCTTCCTTCACCCCGCCCTGGAATCACTGAACTCCCAAGACGTTATTTCTAATAGACCCTCAATCCGACTTATGTACTCCTTAAAAATTAAGAAAAAGACAAAATTTTGGGGTAATAAATAATGGTAAATGGCTCCCGTCAATGAATGAAAGTCGTTTTCTTATATTGGGCACGTGATAAAAGAACTTGGAAAAAAAGGCTTAAACAACTAGTCCACTTGCCCAGCGAGAAACTTCAAAGAAGCGCAAATACTATTCCTTAATTAATTCAGACATTGAAAGTTTAATGAACTCCTTTTTTCAGGTGCATGTATCTTCATGCTCCACTGTTGTCTCTCTTTTTCACTATATATACCCCAGTCCCTTCTTCTTTTTCAGAATTCTGACCCTTTTCCTCTTCAATAACACAACACTCAAAAAATCCAATTATAACAAACAAAATGTATCAACCCATTTCTACAGAATTCCCAGTATATCACCGGACTTCAAGTTTCAGTAGTCTCATGCCATGTTTGACGGATACTTGGGGTGACTTGCCGTTAAAAGTTGATGATTCCGAAGATATGGTAATTTATGGGCTCTTAAGTGACGCTTTAACTACCGGATGGACGCCGTTTAATTTAACGTCCACCGAAATAAAAGCCGAGCCGAGGGAAGAGATTGAGCCAGCTACGAGTCCTGTTCCTTCAGTGGCTCCACCCGCGGAGACTACGACGGCTCAAGCCGTCGTGCCCAAGGGAAGGCATTATAGGGGCGTCAGGCAAAGGCCGTGGGGGAAATTTGCGGCGGAAATAAGGGACCCAGCTAAAAATGGCGCACGGGTTTGGCTAGGGACTTATGAGACGGCTGAAGAAGCCGCGCTCGCTTATGATAAAGCAGCTTACAGGATGCGCGGCTCCAAGGCTCTATTGAATTTTCCGCATAGGATCGGCTTAAATGAGCCTGAACCGGTTAGGCTGACCGTTAAGAGACGATCACCTGAACCGGCCGTTAAGAGACGATCACCTGAACCGGCTAGCTCGTCAATATCACCGGCTTCGGAAAATAGCTTGCCGAAGCGGAGGAGAAAAGCTGTAGCGGCTAAGCAAGCTGAATTAGAAGTGCAGAGCCGATCAAATGTAATGCAAGTTGGGTGCCAAATGGAACAATTTCCAGTTGGCGAGCAGCTATTAGTTAGTTAAGATATGAGCTAAGAACTCAATTGTTAAGTTTGGAGTGAATAGAAACAGCAAACTATTCCACTTTGCTTAGAGGTGGAGAGAGGCAGACCCAAGATTTGAGCACAACGGGGGCATCATTATTTTTAACATAAATATATAAGCTAGTAGCGATAAAATTTAGCGTGCTAACTCCTTCAAAATTTAATGATTATGAGTCAGTGATCAAAAATATCTTTTAAAATATCAAAACTTACTCAAATAAAATCAAGATTAAATATTCGTTAAGTAGTTCAAGCAGAGTCTCAATCTCCATCGCTAAATCGACGGAGGTATGCTACTTTGCCGAAGTGATTTTTGAAGGCACAAGCATTTTGGAGTTTTTTATCGCTCTTTTTAGGCGGAATTTTATTGAATTACTTATTTTAATACAAGTCAAGAAAATGATATGCTTATAAACTTAGTTATCATGATAAACTTAGAGAGAGACATATAAATTGGCTTCTTGCTAATGAAATATTTTATTCCTCTCTAATTTTCTTTAATCTTTTTATGTCTCTCTCTGTTACCTTTTTTAAATTCTAGAAAAACGTTTCTCAAAAAAGTTTTTGACTATTTTATATTGAACCTCTAAAGAACTAATCGTGGAGAGAAGCTTGGTTTGAGGCTTTTGAGAGAGAGATTTGAAGGGAGCAAAGCTAAATTAAATTTACTAAATGTACTTGTGCTAAAATATTTTTGAACTCAGAAAAGATTAAAAAAAAGAGAGAGAAAACCAAATTGAGCTTTAAATACAGAATACTAAACTACCTTGAATTCAAAGAGAAAAAAAAATAAAATGAAAAAGAGCATGCATTGCTGCTGCCACTAGGTCTTAAACCTTGGTCATCTTGAGAGAGAGGAGCAAATGCCACATGTTAAACCAGCCCAGCATCCAAACTTTTGTGCTTGAGGGGCACATCAAAATTATTTAGGGGTCCTTGATGTATATACAAATATATATACACGATTTTTACCGAAGTTAACGGGTTCCGGTGACCCCTCTAGTGACCATGTAGGTCCGCCCTTGGAGGTGGACCAAGGAGGCCATTTGGATTATGTCTCCATGGCGTGTAAAGTGTCACCTTTCAGTTTAAAAACAGTACTTATTTCTTGTCCTCACTTTGGATTTATTAAATGGATAATACTCGCTCTATTCCTATAATAATTGAGTAAAATGCCAAAAGGTCGTAAATAATAAAGGACGTTAGCACTATAGAATGACAACGAAAGTATATCTTCTTAATTGAGTGAAAATTAATTAAAACCAAAAAAGTTCATTATAGTAAAGGAATTAAGTTAGTATATATAAGTATTAGTATATAATTATAAGCAACTCGATAACCTGTTGTACTGCAAACAAGAGAGAGAATCTTAAATGGAGGAGAATATATCTTGAACAAGGAATATAACAAAACTAAAATTTAAAAAAAAAAGACACAGAAAAGACAAATCATTAGCATAAATGATGTCGTGCTATAATTCCATGTATTTTGACGTATTTACCCGACTTGCTTGGTATTTGTATACTAATTTGTGCGACAATTAAGATTAATAGAGTTTATTTTACGTGTATGAATGCTTAGACATGAAGTGGAGAAAAGTTATACAAAATGGTACCTCGAAACTACAAAATAGAGCAATAAAAGAAAACGTGCAAAGCAATGAAAAATCACAGTCCTATGCAGTGCAAGGCTTTGCCCAGGGCATTGTCATTGGCGCCTCTGATAGCGTCTCGCGGGGTAATGTTGGCGCCTTTGATGGCACCTCGTGGAGTAGTATTGGTGGAGCCTCTGACAATGCCTCGCGCCGATGATGCTTACCCTAGTCACGTTTATTTTCTCATTATGTTTGGACGTGTAGACTTCAACCCCACCATATAAATACCTTTTAAAGTTAGTTTTGGAAGGTTAGACATTATTGGAGAGGCAAAAGACTACGAAATACCCTGGAGCACGAATCACAAGAGTTTTTCTCTTCGTTCTTCTTGAATTTGTAGTTTAATGCTTTTTAATATAACTATGATTTCTTATACAATTATGAGTAGCTAAACTCTCCAATTTAGGATTTGATCGAACCTATTGGAGGATGATTTTTTACTAAGTTTAATATAAATTTGCCTATGATTTTTCTCTACTTGTCAACTACGTTTTCATTGTGGTTGATTGAAGAGCTCTCAATTGACTGTGCCTATTTAGTGTGTATTGATTGGAAAAGGGTACACATTTAGGTAGTTGTTGAACCATATCACTCCTAACGTATATGATGAATCAATACGAAAGGTTTAAAGGTGGGATTAGGAATAACGAAACCTTGGTACGATCATAGTGAGCGATAAACTAGTGTCAGCTAGTGTAGTTCGGAAGAATACGTCTAGTAAATTATGGTAGCTGCTCGGAAGAGAATTACGACACCCAAAGTACTCACGATTGGTAGAGAATACTTGGGCGAATTTATAGGAAACGCAGTGATGAGGATTCCGACAACAGGAAAAATCATAACCTAGACTCTTCCAATCTTGTCTTCAACATTTGCTCTATTAGTTATAAATTACTGCATTTTAATTACTCTTCTCTTAGTTAGTGAACACTCAAATTATTGTTTAATATTTCTTAAGGTTGATTACTTGAATTCTTGTAGAACTAGTGATTGTGATTAGTAGTTTAATTCCCTATGAGATTTGATTCCGGACTTGTAAACCGGATTATATTTCAACGACTGCTAGACCACTTAGGAGGCATAGTTGGACATGATCAAATTTTGACGTCGTTGTCGGAGAATTAACGGTGTTATTAGTTACAACGAGCAGAATTTCTAGAATTCTTAGTTTTGTCAACTCTATTGATTTTAACTTTATTATATTGAAATTCTAATGTTTGTAGTCTTGTGTGTTACAGGTGCATACCTAGAAACTCCTCGAGAATTGGTGAATTATTTGAAGCATTAGGATCCTAAGAAAGTGTTCAAGGAATTAAATCGTGCAAACGGGAAAGAAACAACAACACCCAAGAGAACAAATTGAATGAGACATGGGCAACGTTTTGGACAATCAAAACAATCAAAACAATGGGGATGACCTGAACAATTAGTGTGTATCACCTCTTGTGCCAGAAGCAGCCTTGTATGATTGGGCACAACCCAATGCTGAAAATCTGGCAACCACAATTATAGTCCCTCATATACAAGAGGAATCATTTAAAATCACAAACAACATGCTACATCTGTTGCAGAACAAGGAACCATTCTCTAGGTCTTACATTGAAGATTCACAACTCCACTTAAAAAAATTTCAGTCAATTTGTTTCACTCAAAGGAAGCCGAATATGACACCGAAAACAACCAGACTGTTATTGTTTCCATTCTCAATGACTGGAGAGGCTCATACTTGGCTTAATTCGCTCCCCATAAACTCAATTACTACTTGGGAGGAATTAGTCAAGCAATTTTTGAACAAGTTCTACTCACTAAATAAGATTGCAGAGCAAGTTGACGAGGTATTGAGCTTCAGGCAGAAACTAGCTGAAACATTGCAAGAAACATGAGAAAGGTTAAAAGAGATGTTAGTTAAGTGTCCAGGTCATGAAATTCCTGATCAGATGCTGGGGCAAAGGTTCTACATGGGATTGGTAGACAACTTGATGTCCAATTTTGATGATTCAACAGGTGGAGCATTTTTGAGAAAATCATTCAGAGAGTGTAAGGTCTTACTTGATAAAAATGGCTCAAAAGTCGGGATGGATGACAAAAGACTCTACAATCACTCCTATAGTTCACTCGATAGCTCTGGACCCAAACAACTCTATAGATGAGACTATGGCCACTCTGATGACACAAATGAGTATCCTCACTAAGAAGATTGATGAGTCGGGCCAAAAACAGGCGCATATAGTTGACACAACAAATGGAGGCTTATGCACATCATGCATTAACCAACCATATGTGTGCTCGTGGAGTGGTGAAAGTGACAATCAGAACTACCAAGAGAATATGAACTATGTGGGAAACTATGGAGGCTAGAGACAAGGTGGTCATAATTGGGGGCAGCAGAATCAGCAGTATAGACCACCACAGTAGCAGTACAATAACAATAACAATCTAGGAGCTATGCGACCATAGATTCAAGTCATGCCTTACCAAAGGCAATATGGATATAAATAACAAAATCAGCAGCTAGCTTATCAACAGCCTCAACAACAATAGATAGAGAGAGAAGATGATGAGTTATCTAAAATTAAAGGAATGCTGCAACAACTGATTGATCCGCAAAAAAATGCAAGAGAAGGTTGAAGCACATGACTCAGCGATAAAATGCATTGAGGTTCAATTAGGGCAGACATCTATGGATTTAAATATTTGTCCCCAAGGGACGTAACCTGCGGACACACATGTAAATCCAAAAGATCAGGGGCCTGAAGCAACTGATGGCGGTAAGTCTAAAAACGGTAGAGATCTTGATCTAGAGCAAGAAATTGCTCGTGAAAGCTGACCAACTGAGATACTTGTTCCAATACCAATTGAGGTAGATGAGTCAACTAAGCTAACACAAGTAAGAGTGCAGCTAGCCCATGAGGAACTAAGCAAAGAGAAAGAGGTTTGCAAAGGAGACTAAGAAAGTGCAAGAGAAGGCATTAGAAAAAGTGTCTGAGCAGGATCTAACTCAAGTCATAGGAAAGAAGCGACTGCCAGCACCCTTCTCGCAGAGGTTGGCCAGATATCAGAAGGATGAGCAATATAAAAAATTCATGGAGATGTTGAAGCAGATTCAGGTGAACATTCCACTGATTAATGCGTTGAGGGAGATGCCCCATTATGCAAAAATAATGAAGGACTTGATGTCTAGCAAGTTCGACTTTCAAGACTCATCAATTTTGACACTGACTTAGACATGTATTGCGGTCATAACAAGACCTATCATTGAGAAGCTATCCAACCCTGGGAGTTTCACAATTCCATGCACCATAGGCAGCTATGCTTTTGCCAAAACATTGTGTAATTTGGGGGCGAGCATAAACTTGATGCCCTTATCTATCTATAAAAGGTTAGGGATTGGAAGGACAAGACTCACATCCATGTTACTACAGCTAGCCAATCGAACGGTGAAGAGGCCATCAGGTATACTTGATGATGTACTTGTGCAGGTTAGAAAGTTTGTGTTTCCGATAGATTTTGTCATTCTGGACTGCCAAGTTGATGAAGAGATTCCCATAATTTTGGGAAGACCATTCTTGGCCACAAGGAGAACTCTAATTGGTTGTGAAACTGGGGAGCTAAAGATGAGACTAAACGATGAAGAAATAATGTTCAATGTACAGAAGTCTATGCAGTGACCCAGTGAGTTTGCTAATTTCTCTCTGATTGAAAATGTGATTCTCGAGGAGGAAGATGAGGCA